TGGAAGCATCTAAACCCTGAACAATGACAATACCAAGCCAAATTTCTCAGAAAATGTTTTTCTCATAAACTTTGCAAGATTTTTATTTTTCTAGCTTCTCTGAGACTAGAAGGTCATCGTGGAATTTTCTCAAAAATTTCTCCACTACTTTAATGAATGTCTCCCCCTGGCTACGAAACCCAACATGGTGACACAGAATGATAAACAGTAGAAGCCATTGTACATGAAGCAAAATGGTGGTCTTTGTAATTCCCCTTCCTTTCCCCTTCATCTCCACAGCAGTTCCCCAGTCCCTGAGATTCTGGCATGTGCATTGTTATAGACCAGATGGGCAGGATACAAATCAAATAAATAAATAAAATAAATAAAATGGGATTTTTGCTGTTTTGGACTACACTTCCCAGAACCACCCACCAGGCAGCCATGCATTGTCAAGGTTATGTCCAATATAACCCAGACGATGTAACAACTCAGCTGAAGTACAACTTCCAAGCTGTAGTCAGGATTTTGATTCTCTCTTTCTACCGGATTTAGATTCCAGAAACAGACATAGATCTCGGCCAAAATGGACTCGGAACCCCATGAATGTTAGTTTTGCTCTATTTTCTTGCTCCTTGCCACTCAACCAAGGTGGGAAAAATGGATACAAATCCAAGTTGTGCTTGATTATCCTCAATTATCTGCTCCCCTAAATTTGGAAAACTGGCTTTGTTTAGTTTTTACATGACAGACAATGTCAGCCTCCCTTTACAGAATGACAGCTAGTTTAAATAGGAGATTTAAATAGGAGGAAATTAAGAATAGCGAATAAGACCAGGTGAATGAACAACAACAAAACTCATTTGGAAGAGTCCCCTGAAATCTGCTTCTTCAAGATTTTCCCAAACCAAGGGTGGGTTTCTCATAAACACAGTCACCCTAACTACGATCCTGAGGGAGGGAGAAGCCAGGAGAGAAACATGATTCTTTGAACAATTAAATAAAGTTAAATGAAATAAAGAGCTGAAAAGTTTTAATGTGGGGTGCTGAACTGTTATTGTTTTCTCTTGTGGTGTTTTAAATGTGCAGCCTTTTGATATTATTATATGTTTCATTGCATTTTAACATTATAACTTGTGGTGTCTGTTTTTTTTAATCATCCTGTAAGCTGGCTAAGGTGCCAGCCTTGGGGGGGAGAGTGGTTTAGAACTGAAATGTAATGAATGAATGAATGTTGCCCAAATCTTGTTACACTGCACAGAGCAGTTGGCCTAAATCTTGATGATGGGTTGCCTCAAGTTAAGTAGTTAGCCCATGACTTGCCGTACAGCACCAAATTCCTGTGTCGATGTCTTTGCTAGTGGCAATTTGAGATTGGCTAATTGAGTTACATTGGCAGGGATAATTAATAGGATTCTGGACATTATAACTTCGTATCATGGGCTAGAATTAGATTTCATTTCTTGTACCTTCTTTTGCTTTGCTCTTCAGTTTAATTTGTATCATCTGCTTAGCTGGCAATGAAGAATCATATTTGTTTGCCAACAGTAAGAAGTAAGAATTTGGTGATTTTTCAATTATTACAATGAGTACAGTAGAACTGGATACATACTAAAGAACAAATGGAAGTGACCTGAAAAATATACCCTACAATTACTTTTATTGTTTTCAAGCACTCGCTATATTCATAATCATAGAGACTATTTTGTTCTTTTAAAAAAACATTGATTTAAAGAGCACTCAGATTTAACATTTGTCTGTATGGGGTATTTTAAAACAAAAAGAATTTGCATGTTCACATTTAAGGAAGAGCTCTGTGTAACATGAAAGTCTTTATTGTTCTGTAATACAGATGGTTAAAAAATGTATTACTTGTTTTGAATCTGATCAGCGAGACACTCATCGTATCTGTATGTAGCCCCAGCAAACTGAGTAACTGATCTTGATCCAGTCATAAAAGTTCAGGCATATGGGCTATGTTCCACAAAGCTCATGCTATAATAAAACATGTTAGTGTTCAGGATTCCACAGAACTCTTTGTTGCTACATCAGAGTTATTAAACTGAGGAAACTATATATACCACACAGAGTTCTTTGGTAGAAAGGCAAAAACTACATTCAGTTAATACCTGGCTCTCTGCAACTTATCCATACTACTCTTCTCCCTAGCCCACTCTCTTATTATTTTTCTGTGTATTCCTTTTTTATCTTATGTTTAATTTGGTGTTGAACAAGAGGCAGTGAAGTAATTGTAGGCGGGAGGTCAATCGAACTAGGTCAGTCCTAGCTGAGCATCTGGAATTCAGAGCCCATTTGCCCCTCTTTTTGTTTGGCAAATGAAACCCAGCAACGCCCAGAGTTGGCCTGTAACTCAGGAAGTGGAATGTGGATTTAGAATTATAAGTATTAGGCAGTCAATGTCACTCTTTTGTAGGCTGTTTTCCAAAAGTGTTCCTCTTTTACATTTTTAAAACACAAAATGTACAGTTTAATCACTTTCAAATCAAAGTAATTTCTCACTCATACAGCTGAATGGAATGAAGGAGTGAAATTGTACAAAGACTTGATATGGCTGCCTTGAGTATCACAGAACAAACTGATTATCGCTTGCAAGTCCAGAGTGCACTAAAAAGCTGAGAATAAGCTCGACTGAACCCTGCAAGACATACATCTCAGAACGGGCAAAAGTCTGCACCATTAGGAGATGAACCTACATCTCACTTAGCCAAACCTTATTTTGAGCTGGGCTCAGCCTAAGTTCTCCCACCACCAGACATGGGAAGCAAAACAGGTCTGACCATTGCTGGTACTCATGATGGCCAGCACCACACGGCGAGGCACCATGACACCCACCATCCTAGGAGCAGGAGGTACCTCTGCACTTCCCTCTGCAGTTGGGGTGGGGAGAAGAGAAGATAGACAAGACCAGATGAAACAGTGACAGAGGTGGCTGCAGTGTGAGTAAGGAGTAGGAAAACAGAAACACTGGCAGTATCAGAAAGCAAAATAAAAAGCAGGAAGCAGCAGCAGCCAGCATTTGCAAAGACCATCTTTGGATCTCTGATTTAAAAAACAACAACACCAAAATCAGTTTGGGGATTGGGTGAGGTCTTCAGAGCCAAGACACTATGGATGGGATGATCTGAGAAAACATATGCACTGCAATACAGGCTATTCCTTATATCACACCTCCCATACGGATTAGGCTCTGAGGATGCTGCAGAGTGAGGTTTTAAAGAAAAAGAAATAACAGCCCTTGGAGACCTGCCCATAGTGACAGTGGATAATGATGGGGACAGTGGTCCATTCACCATCACCTCTCCACCCCCTGAGGACATTGTTTTATCCAGCCTCATGAGATGGCAAACTCTGTTCCTAGTAAATATTCATGGGAGTGTAGGTTGAAAGGTCCTTGATCAGACAAGTAAGTGTGAAAACTTGCAAGACGTGATCCTGGAATAATACAATTGAATCAATATATTTCCTAACTAGGGTATCCAGTACTGGGCATGGTATTCCAGGTGAAGTCTGACCAAACCTGGATGGTCCTACAGTACTATTAATTCCCTTGATAAGAAACAAAGTATATGAGGGGCTATTTAGGCAGAAACGTGTCATTGTTTATGTTTAAGTTAACATGATTTTAAAAGGAGGAACTACGGCTGACCTTCTTTGGGATTACATGTCCCGGCTTGCAGGGTTACGAAACATCAGTGAAAAAGATACATGCCTTGGAGCGATTTCTTTTTCTTCTCCTTCTTCCTTGTCTACACCTCTGAGAAAACGGGTGCTCTTATTTACAGTCATGATTTAGGGAAAGAGAACCTGTGTGTTGTAATAATGTGATGACCTTAATTCTTTCTTTCTGTCTCTCCTGTATAGAATAAATTAAGGTTACCATATGAAAGATAATAGATGATAGGGCTCAAAGGATTTGGCTTCAAATTCTCACATATCTTGAAAACCCTAATAGGGGTCACCATAAGTTGGAAACAAACTGATGGCACATAACAAGGAACTTTTTAAAGAAAATGATGAGGAAAGTGTTTTCAGATTTGATAATTATATTGAACAAAAAAACGTTTCCCTTGAAAGGCAAATATGCATCCTGAATTTTTATGATCTCGGTTCTTTAAATTCTTTTCCTCATTACAATTAAAATTGACAAGACCAAGAAACTTGTATGTTCATAACCAGTTGACATTGGAACATGCCCCAATGAATTGGTGTCCAGAGATGCTCTTGGCCACATCAGTACTTCTTAAATATTTATGGCTCGAAGATAACTGATTCATCTTTAAAGGCCTTAAAGTGGAAGGCTATAGTTTTGAATACACCTTGTTGTTATTGTTGTTGTTTCGTCATTAAGTTGTTTCTGACTCTTTGTGACCCCATGGACCAGCGCATGCCAGGCCCTCCTGTCTTCCACATGAATACACTTACCTGAAAATAAATCTCACTGAATTTAGTTAAGCTGACTTCTCCATAGACATGTATATGATTGCATGTCAGATGCTTCACTATCTAATTAAAGTTTTGAGAACTATTAAAGCAGTACAATACAAATACAAATTTGTACAGGTGGTGGTGGTTGCTTTGTTTATCACACAGTCTGAGAGCAATTATTTTCTAATGTATTGGGAAGTTAAGGCATCCTAATTCCACTTAAGAACCAGACTGCAACCCTGATTTGGTTGCAGAGTTTTTAATTTCTAGTTAAAATTCATTTTTTTTCCTATGCAACAGATGTACAGAGACTCATAGAGGAAAACAACTCAAAAGTTCCCCAAATAATCCACTCCTTTGGTTGTTGTTGGTTTTTCAGGCTCTTTGGCCGTGTTCTGAAGGTTGTTCTTCCTTCCTCGCCAGTCTCTGCGTCCGGCATCTTCTTTCTTATTAACTGGCACTTAAGGTCTCAACTCACTCTGAGGCCTTTAAAGAAGAAAGAATAAAAAAGTTTCATTGCTTACTGTTGTGAACAGATCAACAGCAAGTCCACTCCTTTGGTTGTTGTGGGTTTTTCAGGCTCTTTGGCCGTGTTCTGAAGGTTGTTCTTCCTTCCTCGCCAGTCTCTGCGTCCGGCATCTTCTTTCTTATTAACTGGCACTTAAGGTCTCAACTCACTCTGAGGCCTTTAAAGAAGAAAGAATAAAAAAGTTTCATTGCTTACTGTTGTGAACAGATCAACAGCAAACAAACAAAAAACCAAGCAGATTTCCAACAGATTAAAGAAAGAGGAAGGAAACTGGGCAAAGAGATGGACTTATCTTTAAATTCAGAGGTGGGAAGGGATGATTGGTTAGTTAATGATGGATAGATTGACAGTCACCCCAGCTCAGAAAGGTCTCTGCCAGCCACACCTATTTGAGCCGGCATGTGAAGGTTGTAAAACTCCAGCTGATTCTACTGTGCATACATGTGCATATGAGATAGAGGGGGAAGGAAAGACAGAAAGATAGAATGAATTAAGGTCATCACATGAAAAAGATGACACATTATCCTGTGTTTTAGCAATTATTTAAAAGGGAATTTTCGCTATTGACACTTACCATGTAAGATCCCTCAGTTGAAATTCTTTCTTTTTTAAAACCTTCAAAGGCATAGCATCTTTTGTTCTTTTATTCATGGCCACCTAATTAATATGAGCACACTCACACACCACGTTGGATTTTTTTTTTTTAAAACAACCTTCAGATTTCAGTGAAACTGTGAACACATTTCTGTGTGCCTCTACTGCCAGCAAAGGGCAGGGACGTGGTGGCGCTGTGGGCTAAACCGCAGAAGCCTGTGCTGCAGGGTCAAAAGACCAAGCAGTCATAAGATCGAATCCATGTGATGGAGTGAGCTCCCGTCGTTTGTCCCAGCTCCCGCCAACCTAGCGGTTCGAAAGCATGTAAATGCGAGTAGATCAATAGGAACCACTTCATTGGGAAGGTAACAGCGTTCCGTGTCTAAGTCGCACTGGCCATGTGACCATGGAAGATTGTCTTCAGACAAACGCTGGCTCTATGGCTTGGAAACGGGGATGAGCACTGCCCCCTAGAGTCGAACACGACTGGACAAAAATTGTCAAGGGGAACCTTTACCTTTACCTTTACCTTACTGCCAGCAAAACAGGAGCGGTATGCTTCAACATAAGGCAGCAGAGAACATACTTAGTGACTGGCAAACCCTTGTCTACAGGGATGGGTGAAGACAAAGACAATTCATTCATGGCCTGAGGGAAATCTGAAACTTCAAGCTGATGTATCAAGCTTACGTTTTCCATTTTGGGACATTAATTTAGCTTAAATCCTCAAGCTTCAAGATGATTTCTCAGCTATTCTATTTCTTTCCTCATTCTCTCAAGGCCTGCAATGCCCAGCATGATACAGGGTCCTGCCTGACTTAAAATATGCTTGTGTTTAATATTTTAGTGGTACCATACACATGTTTCTCTCTCATTTTTTAATTCAACTAAACAAGACTCTTCTTTTGGGAGATAATTTGTCCTATGAATCCCCTGCTTTCTCTCTGAAGTTTGAGCTACTCACAGTGGCAATAAAGCTGTCACCACTTTGAATATTCATTTCTATACTTATACTTTCTATATTTATACAGTAAAACCAGGCAGCTCTTCTTGTCAGCTAGCATCACAAAAGGAGAATCTCACGTAGCATTTGAAATCTTCATTCAAAGGCTCTTACTGTATTTGCTGGGTGTTTTTTCTCTGTTAAATCCAGGCAGGAACTGTGCTGGTATTGTACATCAACAAGCAAGATATTAAATGCTGTAGTGAAAGAGAGAATGAGTCATTTCAAAAACCTTTGGATAGTCTTTCTGGCGAAAAAGCCTGTGATTTTAATAGATAGATAAAATCTATCTTTAATACTGAGTCAGCATGAATCAGCAAAGTGTACTGCAAGAGAACTATTACAGATTATGACAAACTCAACAACGAACACTGCAACAGAAACATATAAAGCACGGAATGTGCTCCCTGGAAGCTTGCGTACAGAAAAACTGGCAAAGATTCCTCTTGTTGATTGTAGGAGTTAATGAAAGCAACAATCCCTAAAAAATCTACAGTGTACATTCAATATTTTTCACCAATTCAGTTGGTTGAAATCCAAGATCCAGAACAGATTGTAGTACTAGACTGCTGTCTTACACTCACATATTTGGGAGTAAGCCCCATTTCACACAATGGACTTAACTTTTTAGAAAACATGTATTGCTGTGCAAATGATTAATCTTGCTTGATAAGCAGACACATTACTAAATGCTAATAGTCTACAATGCTTTCTGAGGGGAAAAATGCTAATAATTTCCTGTCTTGTTTTACTCATCTTTTCAGATGGTGATATTCAAGGTCCTTAAATTTCAATTGATTCTAAAATGGCTGTGAAATAATTTTACTGTTTGCACTTTATAAGCACATGTGAAACACTGTATGTAGGTTTAGTGCTTTTACCAAGGACAAATATTCTGTAAATATTTTAGTCAGGTTTTTTTTGCAGGTAATCACAGAGAGACATATGATGAGTTCTTTAAGATTGCTTGTTACCACATTTTAGACAAGTCTATTTTATAATTGCCAAAATTAATTGTCTGCTTTAATTTTGTGGAAGAACTTTGTTAAAACCTGTGATAATAAACCAGGCATAAAGAATGTGGTCCTTCTGTTTCCAATCTCTCACCAAATGTGTACGTCTGTAGCAGGGTAGGAGAGGCTACGCATGCCCATCCCTGGATCTTGGAGGGCCACACCCACAATCCCCAAAAGTATTCTTAAATTTGCTGCAAAAAAACACATGATTTTGCCACAAGAGTGTAACATGACTACTCATCCGGACATTTCTTACAAGTTAAATTTACATATGAAGTATCCTTATAATATCTTTAGTACAGGTTTTGGAGGTCAGGAAATATCTAGTTCACAATGTCTCAGTCACAATAGTTTCAGGAAAATGGAATAAAATAACACAGAAGCTAAATTATTAATAATTACCCAGTCTCCCTGCATGATCAGTTGCACAAAACAGTTGCTTTGCCCACATCTCAAACAAATTAGAAATGCATGGTTTAAGCTAATGGAGGAAAATGTTGGCAAGTCTTCTGAAAAGACAGAGAAGGTGGCTTTGAATCATTGGAAATCTGATATAGTATCTTTCCATTCATTATGAGCAACTCCTCTGGAATATATGATAAGAAATGAGAAAGAAAAACAAATGTTGTTTGTCTGTTTTGCATGCAGCCATGTGTTGCATGGGTTTGAACATAAGGGTTTCCTGTATAACCACAAGCTAAATATATCAAACAGTTAAAGCTGACACAGGCATGTTAAAATCAATAGCTCCAAACTATAGTGCTTTGGTTTCTAACCTTTTAAAAATGTTTTTAGCTAGTTTCAGTGCTTGATTTTATATCGCTGAACATGTGCTTGTCATCTATAATGAAACAACCATAAAATCTAAGCTTTTAACAAGCTTTGGTTATTAATTATTTTACAACTATTAAGACACAGTCAACTAATTGAGGGACATGATGGTGATGCAGGTTAAACCACAGAAGCCTCTGTGCTGCAAGGTCAGAAGACCAGCAGTCATAAGATCAAATCCACGCGACGGATTAAGCTCCCGTCGCTTGTCTCAGCTCCTACCAACCTAGCAGTTTGAAAGCATGCAAATGCAAATAGATAAATAGGTACCACCAGGGTGGGAAGATAACAGCGTTCTGTGTCTAGTTGTGCTGGCCACGTGACCACAGAAACTGTCTCTGGACAAACGCTGGCTCTATGGTTTGGAGACGGGGATGAGCATCGCGCCCTAGAGTCGGACACAACTGGACTAAATGTCAAGGGGAACCTTTACCTTTTTAACCTGATTTCCTTGCTTCCCATTTTTTCTATGAAAGGCAAACTGGCAATTCTAATCTACAAATAAAAATAATAGCAACAGTCTGGTTTAACTTTTCTGTGAAGACATGTGGACAGTGATTTAGGCCTCAGACATTCTGGAAAATATAGCTGTTTCCATAAGATCTACTTTGCTTTGTTTTATTTTGTTTCAGATTGGGGGTGGGTGGAACAGATAATCCATAGGTTTTGGACCACTCTAACTGGTTTATTTAGAATTTTTTGCTGTCTTACTCCACGGGCCAATAATAGAACAAATCTTTTTATAGATACCTTTCATTTTATCCTCAGAGGCATTTTGCAAAATTAACTAAGCTGAGATATGTAGCAAGTTTCCAAAGCCACCTCTGTTTCTAATTAAGTATTCTAGTCACTAGAGCTCTATCCATCTTTGTTCCCCAGTAACACCCTGACTGACATTCCTCCCTTGGTGCTGTCATTAGTGGTGTAGAAGAGTTATTTCAGGGATGCGGAGAAAGGAGGAGCCTTTAGCCACTAGTGGCACAAAAGCCATAATGCCAGGTTACTGGGGAGAGAAGAACATAAGGGAAGCAGGGACTCTCTCCATCGATTCTGGGGGAGACAATGCATTTTCTGTGGAGCATGGATTGTGTGGCAGGTGGTACCAAGGACTAATTCTATGGCTGAAATTCAGTTGCTTGGGAAAGTAGGTATTGCCTCCAAAGGTTTTATAAAATATTTCTCTAAAAGCTGATTAAGGCCTAGTATACAAGTATGCAAGTGCAGCAGGAGGCAACAGAGGCCTGAAGCAGTCTTGCTGATACCATTTCCAAATGCTGAAGGGTTACAATACAAGGAAGTAGCAAGGAGAGGTGCAACAGTTTCCCCTGACATGCTGGCTTTTGGCATGCAAGGATTCTTTGTTTTGCAGTGACAGAGATGGGCACAAACCTCAGCTCGGGGATTCATGCCGGTTCGTCAGAGGAGCCCCACAGGTGCCGTGTATTCCCTTTCTCCCCCTCACTCACCAGCTGGTGTGCACTGCTCTTCTTCACATCTTTGGGCATTCAACCAGTCCTAGCAGGAGTGTGTGCTTCCCTCTTCCACCTCCTCTGGCAGCCACCCACTCAAATGCAGCACTACAGGAATCCCTGCCCCACCTCCCTGTCTGAGTGGGCGGCTGCTGGAGGAACTGGAGGAGGGAAACACATGCTCCTGCTGGAACTGGTACAACACCTGAAGAGGAGAAGAGCAGCGTAGCGCGGGCCAGCTGGTGAGTGGGGGATATGGCAGCAGGTGGGGAGGGAACATGCGGCACCTGTGGTTCTGGTCCAACAAACCTCAGTTTGGACGTTTGTGTTCATCTCTAGTGACAAATTCAAAAATGGCACCTCACATGTACATTTTATTGTGGTGCATCAGGCTCCTGTTTAACGCTGCAGCCTCCCCTTTTTGATGTACATGTAGGTCAGGATTTATGTTCTGAAAAATGGGCTTAAGACATAAGAGCCTTAGTTCAAAGGGCATAATCTGAATGTGCATTAAACTCCAAAATTTTACTTTTCATAATTAAATAATCTGTGGAGGCAACAATCTGATTCAATGGGTGCCTCTAAGCATTCAACCTTCCCCCAAATGAATTCAGTGAATGTTCCTTACTGTTCCAGGGCATGATAGCCTCCAGCACAGCGTAACAGAATTATGAAAATGTGACATTTTGGAGATGTGAAGAAAATAAGAACTTGAAGGAACATGCAAAACGATTTTTTTAATTTTAATTTTTTTTAGTTTTCTATCTGCCTGTAAGTGCATGGCAACTTAAATTTTCATGACAAAATGTCCTCTGGAAATAGGCTGTTCACACCTTCTCCCTACTCATTCTAATTACTGTATTTACTGTTGAACATGGATGGTAAGAAAGAAACTTAAGGGAACAACAGATCACCTTTGGAGTGTTGTAATAATTAACAAAAAAAGAATATTCAGACACTTAAAAATCCTTTTAATCAAAGCATTGTTTTTAATAGTACTCTCACCAAGGAACTTGATAAATCATATGCTTGATATTCATAAATCATATGCTTTATATTCATAAATTTAATTTCTAATTATTCTTTTAAGCCATCTAGTTTTTTAATACCATAGAGAAAATTGTAAGTCAAACCAGCTGATCCAGGTTACTTCTAAAAAAAAAACACAGTACATACAACCCACTATTTGCAAAGGAGAAAGGCTGGGCCTATATAGATCCTTACAATGAGAGCCTTTCAACCCAAACCCTTACTTTGATGCATCAAATAAATTTGGTTAGTTATGTTAAGGCAGCAAAAATATTCTATTTTTATCAAGGCATGCTAAGCAAGTATTTTTGGTATTTCACTCTGTACCACTGCCAATCTTTCTGTTTTCAAGAGAAGAATGAATACACTAGGCCACAAAACAGCTGAAAAAGATCAAGTACTTGGGAGGATCTCTTGAAATCCTACAAATGACAGTTCTTGGCAGTAAGGGGTAATATTCCAATGCTTACCGTACAGCAGAGTTGTTATAACTTGGATTATGTTTTGGAGGACAGCAATGTACACTGCCTTAAACTCATTTGTGAAAAAGTAAGTTAAAAGAATCCCAATACCGAAGAAGGGCAGTGCCAAAGAATGTTCCAGCTACCGTACAACTGCACTAATTTCACACGCTAGCAAGGTTATGCTCAAAATCCTACGAGGTAGGCTTCAGCAGTATGTGGACCGAGAACTCCCAGATGTACAAGCTGGATTTCGAAGGGGCAGAGGAACTAGAGACCAAATTGCTAACATGTGTTGGATTATGGAAAAAGTAAGAGAGCTCCAGAAAAATATCTACTTCTGCTTTACTCATATTGACTATGCCTTTAACTGCGTTGGCCACAGTGAACTACGCCAAGATCTTAAAGAAATGAGAATGCCTGATCACCTGCTGTATCTCCTGAGAAATATATATGTGGGACAGGAAGCAACAGTTAGAACTGGATATGGAACAACTGATAGGTTCAAAATTGGGAAAGGAATATGACAAGTATGTAAATTGTCTCCCAGCTTATTTAACTGATATGCAGGATGCATCATGTGAAAGGCTGGATTGGAGGAAACCCAAGCTGGAATTAAGAGTGCCGGAAGAAATATCAACAACCTCAGATATCCTGATGATACCACTCTCATGGCAGAAAGTGAGGAGGAATTAAATAACCTCTTAATGAGGGTGAAAGAGGAGAGCACAAAAAATGGTCTGAAGCTCAACATCAAAAAAACTAAGATCATGGCCACTGTTCCCATCACCTCCTGGCAAACAGAAGGGGAAGATATGGAGGGAGTGATAGATTTTACCTTCTTGGGCTTCATTATTACTGCAGATGGTGACAGCAGCCACAAAATTAGAAGACGCCTGCTTCTTGGGAGGAAAGCGATGACAAACCTCGACAGCATCTTAAAAAGCAGAGATATCACCTTACTGACAAAGGTCCGCATAGTCAAAGCTATGGTTTTTCCTGAAGTGATGTATGGAAGTGAGAGCTGGACCATAAAGAAGGCTGCCTGCCGAAGAATTGATGCTTTTGGATTGTGGTGCTGGAGGAGGCTCTTGAGAGTCCCCTGGACTACAAGGAGAACAAACCTATCCATTCTAAAGAAAAACAACTTTGCGTGCTCACTGGAAGGACAGATCCTGAAGCTGAGGCATCAATACTTTGGCCATCTCATGAGAAGAGAAGCCTCCCTGGAAAAAACCCTGATGTTAGGAAAGCGTAAAGGCAAGAGGAGAAGGGGATGACAGAGGACGAGATGGTTGGACAGTGTCATTGAAGCTGCCAACATGAATTTAACCAAAATCTGGGAGGCAGTGGAAGACAGGAGGCCCTGGTGTGCTCTGGTCCATGGGGTCATGAAGAATTGAACAGAACTTAACGACTAAACAGCAACAAAGTTAAAGAATGGCAATAAATAAACAACAACAATGATTTGGAATGGGTGTTAAAGTTACCTCTCTGCTAACATTCAGAAGATTTAGGAAAAATAAATTTTAATTTTCTATATTAAATGAGCAGAATGACTTTTCTACCCAAAGAGTAGCAATAATACCATGATTATTGTATAAAATGATACAAACTATAATTAAGTGTTAAGCTGCTATTCTAGAATACCCTGGAACATTTCTTCAGGCTAGAAGGTTATGCAAAGCTTAACAATCCCTCAAAACACACACTCACAGCCTTAATTTTAGAAAGTGCAAAGGTTTGTATTTCATTAGCTATCTTAAGATAGACCACAAGAGACACCACATACGCTTCACCAGGCTGCACTGAACTAGATGCAAAGGTTTCAGCTTGCACCAAAAACTAGTGGGAGAAAGAATAAATGCTGTTCCCTCTTTGATAATATAAATACCAGGAGTAATAAAATTGTCTCTGACATCACATGATGGAGTAGATCTGTGTCACTTATAAGCCCACCAACTACCTCCAAATATATCTGTAGGTTATCATTTACCACTGGAAGATACATAATCTTCTCAGAAAAGAACCAACAGTTACCACAGTGTTATCAATGAAGGGGATTTTTTAAAAAGCCCAGATGCAGTGGCATAGCAAGGGAAACTACTTTAATACGAAATAGCTCACAAATAATTAAGGATAAATACAGCCCATCAACTTCTGGCCAAGGTAAAGGGGGCAGGGCTCTAACCTGGAGATGTCAATGCCTGAAATCTTGTTCCTTAGTGTAGTAAGATGCACTAGAATAGGCCCAGTGGGAATTTGATCCTCTGCTTCAATTGATTCAAATCAGCCTACTCTAGTACAGTGGTACCTTGACTTAAGACCTTAATCCGTATTGGGACTGCATTCTTGTCGAAACGTTCTTAATTTGAAGCACCATTTCCCTTAGGAATGCATTGAAAGCCATTTAATCCACATCTGCTGTTTTTTGTTCTTAAATCGAAGCATTAGTTCCCATAGGAACTAATGCAAAGCCAGTTAATCCGTACTCTACCACTAGGGGGGTGAATTTTTTTAAAAAAATTTATACTTCTTTTGACCTAAGGTGAACTTAGGTCAAAAAAAGGGCAGGAAAGATTTCCCCCCCTTTTTTTGGTTCTAATTTGAGGCTCCGTGCTCAGGTCGAAGCAACTTTTTGCGAACGGATCCGTTCTTAACTGAAATCATTCTTATGTAGGGACGTTCTCAAGTTGAGGTACCACTGTAGTTAATTAATCTAATGTAGTAAGTTGCTACTTGAGTAGGGCCACTTGAATCAATTGAATTTATGGAGGGGTTGACTCATCAAAATTCCACTGATTCAGTGGACCTACTTTAGTGTGACTTACATCCCTGAGCAAGCAACAAGATTTCAGCCAATAAGTCATTAATTCCAAATGATAGACAAACATGAATGTGAAAACAGATATGAACCCCATAAATGGTTACCCTAACATATCTCATTATCACCTAGGTAGTAGGTGGATCAGCATATTGCAAAGAAACATTTGCCTCAAGCATATTGCAAAGAAACATTTTATACTCTGTCCCCTAACTCAGGCAGATTCCAGTTAGGATGTTATAGAGAGGAATGTTTCACAGCTGATCATTTAGGTAAAATAAATGGGAAAAGAATTATAGGAAGCTTATTGGCTGAAAAAAACTTAGAAGATGGTTTGGAAGCAACACAACATCATTATTTAGGTGATGTTGCATCTAAAGTTTGGATACGGTTGATGGCATTCAACCCTAGGTAGGAGGGCAACAAAATGTTGACATGCTACCCAACATATTGCATTCAGTGTAGTTTATTTCAAGATAAATGTGGGATAATATTGTAGCTCAGACTAGCCTGTCTCTAATTTTATGGGAAACCAAGGATTTATGCTAGTGTAGGGAGGATTTTGAAGAGTCAGATGGTAATGGAAATGGTAAAGCATTTACCATTTTCCATAACATTGGGGAAAAAATTAATTCTACTAGCTTAGCTTGTTTCTTTTAGACAGTCATTGCCAAACTGAGTGCCAAGCACTTTGTTGGAATGCAGGGGACTTGTTAGTGAGTACTAGGAAATAATTTACTTAATTACAGGCTCTTGAGTGAGTTGAATTATTGTTGTTGTTTAGTCGTGTCCGACTCTTTGTGACCCCATGGACCAGAGCACGTCATTTGAGTTTGGTCAAATTCATGTTGGGATGCTTCCTCATTTTGTTGTTTAGTCATTACGTCATGTCCAACTCTTCAGGACCCCATGGACCAGAGCACGCCAGGCCCTCCTGTCTTCCACTGCCTCCTGGAGCTGGGTCAAAATCATGTTGGTCGCTTCGATGACAATGTCCAACCATCTCGTCCTCTGTCGTCCCCTTCTCCTCTTGCCCTCACACTTTCCCAACATTGAGTCTTCTCTTCTCATGAGATGCCCAAAGTATTGGAACCTCAGCTTCAAGATCTGTCCTTCCAGTGAGCAGTCAGAGTTGATTTCCTTTAGAATGGATAGGTTTGTTCTCCTTGCAGTCCAGGGGACTCTCAAGAGCCTCCTCCAGCACCACAATTCAAAAGCATCAATTCTTCGGCAGTCAGCTTTCTTTATGGTCCAGCTCTTGCTTCCATACATCACTACAAAAAAAAAAAAAAACCATAGCTTTGACTATGCAGACTTTTGTGAGTTGAATTAGCCACCAGCAAAGAAGAGATGCTCAAAGTAGTGACCCATGCAGAGGGGTCTTTCTTGCTTTTCTATCCAAGTCATGGTTTCAGGCATGCTTTCTTTCTGTTAAAAGAGTTATACACTTGCCAAAACTTGAGAGGGAAATCTTTAAATTTGAAAAGCAATCTTGTAAGAAGGAGGGTGAGAGACCCCTCTCTTGGGAGTGCCGTCCCTCCTGCCGACCGCTGTGAAAGAGAGCCAGACCCCACCTGTGCCCCCACCCTGGAAGATGAGACCTTCTGGACAGGACCCGGGGAATTTGGAGGGAGATTTGAAAACACTCATGATTACTGAGCCCGGGACTATCTTGGTGGACGAGGGAGAGGTGAGAAATAGTGGAGGCGGGGTTAAGGGATATAAAAAGAGGATGAGATTTACCAGGGGGCTGGGAGTGAATCTGGGTTGAAGATCCATGGACAGGGAAGACAGAGAAACTGTGTGTTCCCAAGGAGGAGGCAGATGCCTGGAGGAGGCGTGAGTCAAACCCCAAACCATCTTACTGGGGCAAGAGAAAGACTAAGGAGTGGAGGAGGAAATCGAGAGAGGAGAGGGAGAGAGTGGAAAGAGAATGAAGAGAGATATTAGAATGGAGAATATGGGAGAATCAATAGAGTGAATTCCTGGAGTCCCGTGGGAGACGGGGGAACCCCCCAAGGAGTGTGACTGGGTGGACATTCAAGGCGAAGACACTATCCCCCTACTGGAAGGAGAGGAGGAGCGACTATTGAACTCTGAAACCCTACCAGAGTGGGCCGGACCCTGGAATAGCCAGAGCAAGAACCCTTTTAAGGTTAACGACTGGAACCCCCCTTCAGAACCGTTGTCTAAGGGAGAGAATATCTGGAATGCCTTTATGGACACTGGACTGTTAATACCCCAATAAATGTTACCCTCGTTTCTAAGCCATGGAGAGTGGGTGCATTCTTCGAAAAAGTGTTGGAGCAGAATACTGAACCCTCACAAATCTCTGCATATGGAAAAAAAATTAACTTGCCTTCCAATTTGATGGGTTTGTCAAAAGTCAAGAGACTTGGTAGCATTTAACATCTACCCAGAAGTAAGCTCCCTTGAGGTGGATATGAAGAGCCTCTTTGGCTTCAGATGCAATATTTTCATGGTATTCTCCACATACTGCAATGGCCCAAATCCTGCTGCTTAGAGCAATAAGTTGCACTTCAATAGGCCCACTGAATCCGTGAGGCTTTGATGGGTCAATTCCTCCATCGGTCCCATTGATTCAAATAATAATACCCCATGTTACCCTCGTTTCTAAGCCATGGAGAGTGGGTGCATTCTTTGAAAAAGTGTTGGAGCAGAATACTGAACCCTCACAAATCTCTGCATATGGAAAAAAAATTAACTTGCCTTCCAATTTGATGGGTTTGTCAAAAGTCAAGAGACTTGGTAGCATTTAACATCTACCCAGAAGTAAGCTCCCTTGAGGTGGATATGAAGAGCCTCTTTGGCTTCAGATGCAATATTTTCATTGTATTCTCCACATACCGCAGTGGCCCAAATCCTGCTGCTTAGAGCAATAAGTTGCACTTCAATGGGCCCACTGAAGCTGTGAGGCTTTGATGGGTCAATTCCTCCATCAGTCCCATTGATTCAAATAAGCCTACTCCGACAGCAACTTACTATACTAAATAAAGTCACCACCGGAGTAGGCCCATTTGAATCAGTGGAGCCTACAAAGTTGATTCACGAAATCCTCACAGTTTCAGTGGTCAGTCTAGTGTGATTTACTACGCTAAGCAACAGGATTTCAGCCTGCTCCGAAAGCGATGCTGACGAGGCGCTGCTTGACGAAAGGGAGGCTGAGGAGAATGAGACGGGCCTCCACAATTTGGGAAGGAATGTGGGTTTGGGAGGCCTTGTTTCCCTAAAGCTGAGATTAAGTCAAAAGACCACTTTCTTGGAGCGCTTATCGTCTCTCTCTCTCTCTCAAAACGGCGGGGAGGGTAAACCCCGCTTTGCTCAGACGCCAGACGAGCCCCAAGGCCCAACGCCGCGCTCTCCCAACGCTCCGCCCCGAAGCTGACGGCAGCTGCCAGGAATGCGCTTCCGGAGACGCTGAGGGAGAGGCGGCGCGGCTCTGAGGAGAGGGCCCGGCCTTCCCCGCCATACGGTGGAAGGAGCGGCTGGCGGCGGCGGCCGAGCTGAGGAAGGAATCATTCTCCCCCCAACACCGAGGCCGAGCCGGGGCTTCTCAAGGACCGGCAACCCGGGAGAGGCGGTGCGGCTCTGAGGAGAACGAGGGAAAGGGAACGAGCGGGTTTCCCGCTCACAAAGTCTCCTCACAGCTCCGGACGGCGGGCTTGGCGGAGGGAGGACCCTCCTTAGAAGAGCCGCCGCCATGGCCCAGGTACCGTGTGTGTGTGTGTGTGACCGAAAAAGAGCAAGCCTGGCAAAAGGGACAAGGGGGCCGCGTTCCCTTTGGGTTGTGTACGTGTTTTGTGCGGCTCAGCGTCTCCTCACCGGTCTCCCCCTCCCCTCTCCCACCAACACCGAGGCCGAGCCGGGGCTTCCCAGGGACCGGCAACCCGGGAGAGGCGGCGCGGCTCTGAGGAGAACGAGGGAAAGGGAACGAAAGGGCTTCCCGCTCACAAAGTCTCCTCACAGCTCCGGACGGCGGGCTTGGCGGAGGGAGGACCCCCCTTAGAAGAGCCGCCGCCATGGCCCAGGTACCGTGTGTGTGTGTGTGTGACCGAAAAAGAGCAAGCCTGGCAAAAGGGACAAGGGGGCCGCGTTCCCTTTGGGTTGTGTACGTGTTTTGTGCGGCTCAGCGTCTCCTCACCGGTCTCCCCCTCCCCCCACTTTTTGTCTCAGCCCTTTCCTCCGTTTTTGGTACGGAATTGACGTGAAGGGGGCGGTGGGGGGGACTGGAGATTCAGGGAAAGGACCCTTGCCCTCTTTTCCCCTCCCTCCCCACCTCCCCAAATCCCTGCTGTGTGTGTGGGGCGGAAGGGCCCGTTGTGTGTCCTTTTTCAGAAGTCCAGCGAGGCTAAAGGCGTGGCTTTTTGCAAGGGTGTAGTGCTCGGTGCCCGTGGGGGTTATTAAAATCGCCTGAGTTAGAAGTTAAAAAAAAACCCGCAACACACGCACACACACACGAAACCTCTGGACTTCTCCTTTCCTCCCTTAAATTGTTAGCATTTCGGTTATTCATTTTACAGGGTTAGTCCTGCAGCAAACAGCCATAAAAGTGTTGCCGCAACGAGCAAGGTCCGTGCTGAGGCAGAGGGTCTTGAGGACTAGAGTTTACAAAACGTTAGGCGACCGTAAAAAAAACAAACTGTAGCACAATACCGCAAGGGCTATGTGGTTGTGTGTGAGAGAGTGTTATTAGTCATTATAGGAGGTGTTCTTTCTTCCCTTCTCTCCCCACCCCCGTGTTTAACGGTAGTTTCTTTGTAAGTGGAGGGAATTAACTGCCCTGAATCAGAGAGAGATGGAGAAGGAACTGGAAATGTCATAACCCCACATTAGATGTGAACTGGCTGAAGTGTGAGCTCTATCTGTCTGTCTTGCAAGTTTCTGTCTCTTTTTCTTCATGGGAGCCTTCATCCAGGTGGAAAGACAACTTCCACTGATTGCAGTTGAAAAGCACTGCTATTAAATTGATTTTCAGTGCTAAGAAAAAAAATTGGGAGGGCTGCAAGCTGAAGGTGAGGGTTATTGAATGTCTCATTTACTGCATGAATCAGACAGTTCAGTTGCCCAATAAAATTTTTGCTTAGAAGTGCCCTGAAGCCATGACCTTACTCACATTTATCAGGAAGCAAGCGCTGTTAGTCACAGCTGAACTTACTCTTGAGTAAACCTCCATAGATGAAGCAGGGCATTTGCGTAGAACTGTAGTCTAGCAGTTGGAAACTGCTCCTATTAATTTATTTTCCTGACGTTTAATTCCAAATAAGCATGTTTAGCCTTGTAGGTCAATCCTGTGGTTACTCACCTATAAGCAGGCATTTCTGGGCTCAGTACTTTATTTCCAAGTACGCTTGCATGCAACTATTCCCTCAGGATGTTATGCATTCCATTTCCTGGAGAAATGATACTGGATTTCATTCTCACAATATCTTTTGAGGTAACACTTTCTCATTTATTCTTACTGTAATACACATTTTAAAATCTGGTGTAATTAATTGCAGCTTGCACTAGTATGCCCATGTCTTTTAACATGCCTTTATAGGGACTTTCTGTTGCTATCCTACCATTTCTTCTCTACACCTGCCTACATTTCATTTTCACTATTATAATTTTTTGGGGTGTGGTTTCCTTCCTCAGTAAGGATTTCAGAATGGTGTTAACCACACCACTCCCCCATGCAGTAGGTATCACTTGGGATGGAGTTTGGTGGCTGAACAAGATTTTCCTCCACCCATGGTTGTCTTTTTAGCTGCTGGAACACATTATTGATGTTCCTTTTGAACTACTATGGAAAAGTAGTTCCTATAATCAGAGGTACCACTTAATGCACACATGTGGAAGTGTACAGTCCATGCTATAATAAAGTAAGTTCAAGTGCCAGGAGACTGCTGTTTCATTTTAACTAAAGACCTTAGAATCTGAGACTGTTCTCAGGGTAAACATTTATTCATTCTAAACACATATACCTCACCACCAAAGTTCCCTCTAATTTTCAGCCTTGCTACATGGAAGCATCACCCCGTGTGTACACACATGTGCAGGGGGTTCCAACTGGAACTAATGAGCGGCAACACTGGCTGCCGGTGCACAGCCCCAATGGAGCGGTGTGCACATGCATGCAGCTTAGCAGGAATATAGCTCACCACAATGGCTTACAGTTATTAAAAATTAATCATAATAGCATAGAAAAAAAGACTGTGGGGTTTTTTTATATAAAGGGTAAAAATCAGCATGCATACAGTTGGATTATTATTGCTGGAAGCTACTGCAGTGTCAGGGTGCTTACCTTGGGGATTTTTGCCACTATAGGCAGGTTATAAACTTCTTTAAGGCACCAATATTGTGGCCTTTGAAATCGTGTGTCAGAGCTTGGATGTTTTGGACCTTTTGTGAAGCTGAAGAGGGCCTTGAAGACATCAACCCCTATTGTAGAAAACATCACACACCTTGTTTCACTGACATTAGAAATCTGATGTCAGAAGAACTAAAAAAATAAGAGTTCCAATGGTGTTTCAGGAGGCTGCTTGGGAGGATTGTGATCCTCCGGATGCAGAGCCTTGCCATTGCTATGCCCTCAAACTAGCAGCAAGTCTACTGTATTCCTGGAGCATAACTATTTCTTCTTTGAGTCAGTGGAAGGAAACATGAAAGAGTAATTAAAAACAGCCTTAGAAAACCCAAGCAAGCTGTGTAAAACATTTCCTCTTTTTTCTTGTTTTTTGGCTTGGAAGGGCATTGGGTGAGATGGATCTACACTTTCTCTTCTCCTCAGAAGAGCACAATATATAACATCTGTGCTTTTCTGTGTCTTGTTTTTTTCTAGATTTTAGTGAGATCTTTCCTTGAAGTCTTCTTATCTGGATCCTGTACAGACAAAAAAAAGTTGGGAATGTTCAGGCATAAGACAAACCATGGTTTAGAATTTGAAAAAAAAAATAGAAAGATGTGATCCTTGGGTTCATTTATGTTCTCCTGTCTATTGTGCAGTGGTTATAATGTGCTATTGGTTTAATAACAAACCATAACTTGAAACTTTGTACAAAACTAAGAATGAAATGCGAACACAATCCATCCTTTGCTGTTGTTTAGGATTACAAACCTGAAATGAGTCTTATTTTATGGGCAAACTCTGCTTTGCACAAATCATATTACTGTATGATGGATTTCAATGGAACAGGAAGTTCAGGATTGCCACCTTATGAAGATAAGTTTACTGGTTACCATGGACACAAAAGAGGAAAATGATACACAGAGGCTGAAGCTTGTTCTTGTAACGTTAAATCACAGTTTAGTTGTATCTGCCTCTTTTATTGTCTTTGAGAACATTTGGAATATGGATTATATACTTTTTAAAATTGTTTAGGTGTTAGTTATTAAATTATTAACTCTTAAAATCATGCTACTTAAGTAGTATGAGATGTGTGGCACCATAGGCAGGATTCTGTCATCTTTTGGAGCTGGTGGGCATATTGGAGTTTTGGGAAGGTATCATAGACATTATTCTAAAACATCTGTTATGGGGTGGCTCGTGCACAAAATGGCAGCTGCAGTAGATACGTGGAGATATAAAACACCTGTTTTTCAGAAAGACTGTAATTTGCCCCAGAGTGTATGAGACAGAGGTAGAGTTTGAGCTCCAAGATATAACCCATTCCTTTGACTCTATCTTTTCCTCTGTAATGATTGCCAGTATTCCTGAAAGGCAAGCCAATTTTTCCCACACATAAAATAAATATATTTCCTGAAGTAGGAAAATCAGAGCAGATCCTACACTACAAACATACCAGAATCTCTGTCTTGCTTTACATCCATATATACCCACTCTGTCGTAGCCATAACACTCCCTACCCCATTTCATTCACAACTGTACATCTAATTTATTCATTATTTCATTCATTATGTAAATACATATCCCTCTTTTTCCACCCAGATCTCACACCGGCATCCAAATTTAAAAATAAAAAATGGGACAGTACAAGGGAACTTAGTGGCTTTCATACGGGGGACCCCTATTCTAATGTTTAATTTACTAGAATTTTGGCTTCATCTCTTCACCTGTGAGCAGTGTGTGCTATGAAATCATAAAAAGTCTTCAGTCAGCAGCAGTCCGCTATTGCTAATGACATCGTTTCTGTTACCAACGTCCTTTTGGTAATTTATTATTGTAGAAATTGTGGTGCTGGCATGAAGGAAAATGAAGAAGAGTTGTTATTGATTCGGATCACGTGAGTGATTGAGAATGTCCTCTAGAAAAGTCACATTGTCTAATCTGCCTGTATCTACTGAATTTTTGAAAAAAACCAGTTAATAATTGAAGGACTGCATACAGTCTAATCTTAAAACTCAGTTAACATTACCAAGTTAGTATGTATTGTACAAGATGTCTCCGCCTTTTTAAACCTATACCCTTTTTAATAAAGAAAAAAATACAGTGTCCCCTTTCAATCCTGACTATTGTAATAATGTTATTTGGAATTTGAGATAGCATGACTATAAACAAATCAAATAATTTGTAAATGTAGAAAAAATGGATAGTCATTTTTTTGCATTATTTGCAATACAATAGCTAAAAGGATGACTGTAGGTGCACTGTTGTGTTCAGGATGAGGTAATAAGCTGTTTGCAAAGAAACCACTTAATGTTTCAAGCCATTTATTTTCTAAATGAAATGCTATATTGAGTATTCTTTTTCAGTATACACATGCCTTCCTTGAAATCGTGATAATTTCTTTTACATGGAGGAAGGCAATCATCAGGATTTCAGGGAAGGCATTTACTTGGAGAAAGGGAATCTCTCAATAGCTTAGATTCCCAGTTATAGAAGAATGGTTTATGGTTGATTTGCACTTTCCCATCATACTTGTACAGTGTTCTTGTTGCTGTGAGTTGAAAAATGGAGATGAAAAATAAAGTGTTTTCCTTCTCATCAAATGTTTACCAAGAGGGTTAGCAAGCTGTAAGCTTAAATGAAGGACAATTCTGTTATTAGGATAGTTTCAGGAATTTTGCCAGTGACTTCACTAGTGTCCAGTTTTAAAATTAGTCATTGCAGATGAAGGATCATGGCTGAGAGAATCTGGTTTGCTTGAGACCATCTTCTGAGTTGCAAGCTAAATCAGGATTTGAATCGGGACTTCTTTGCTCCTATGTTATATGTGATGTGACACAATATGTAAATCATAATTTTGGCACCTTTTGTTCTTGATGTAAAATCAGTCATAAACTACACAAGAAAAGAGTTAATGGAAGGGGACATTTAGTGGTCAGAGACTTTAATATAATATGTGAATTGCCATGTCCCAGTTGCTAAGTTGAGATGCTGTTTTTGACTGTTTGCTGCTGAAGTGATCCAGAAGAAGAATGAATAGACTCACTGGTCTATAGTGACAGTAAAGCAAGTAGATTCAGAGATACTTTATCTTGAACCTCCTACAAGACAGGGACTTCCTAGCTAGCACAGAGATCATGCTCTAAGCAGCCATCCAAATGATGATAAAACACATTCATTCTGTTTTTGGAGAACCAGTGTGGTATAGCAGTTAGATTGATGGACTAGGACTCAGGATACCTGGATCAATATCCCTGCTTATCTTTGAAAACTCACAAGAAAGGTGGTGGTACTCTTTAAGTATTTAACATGTCTTTGAAACTTCAGTAAGGTCATCATGAAAACTTTTCAAAGCAAGTAGATTCAAAGGCACCTTCCCTAGCAACACAGTGAACTTCTTAGCATCGACATCAAGTTCTAAGTAACCACCCAAAGGATGATTAAACAGATGATTCATTCTAATGTAATAAAAAAGTATTCCAAGGAAATGATTAAGCACTGTTTTCTAAGATAGCAAATAATGTGTCAAAGTAAAATAGCAAGCCTGATCCCATATATTATAAACCAGTATTTCAGAAGTATGCATCAGTCTTAAAATGCTTTATCATAGAGGAATACCTTCCCAAGTTCTGGACAATATTCTGACATAGTAGTACAAAGTATACTGCTTGAAGTGCTATGAGTGTTCTTTTCAGGCCATAATTGTAGCATCCTTAATTATTATGTGAAATTGATTGTAAACCATCTTATTAATAATGCCTCTTTCTTTGCTCACAAATTTAGTAGAGTATTCCGATTATGGTATATTTGTGTTATAGATCCTCTTTCCTCGGGAAAATATATATATATATATTTGCGCAAAGCAAGGGCTACACATTTGAGAGCTGGCATTGCTGCTTTGCTGTTCAGCCTTACAGCATCCTCAAACATTTGTAATGACCAGATTTTCTTTACCAGGGAGCATCTGTTGACTTCCTTGGGTGAGGCCATTTAAAAGCCAGAGAGCTAAAGGAAGCAACAGACTTCCTTTTTCTGAAGAAAGAGAAATTAACACAATGCACATTTGGAAATGCTTCCTTTTTATAATATTTTGAATATATTAAATATACTTCTGTTTGGATAGCAACCTCACCTTATAAAAACTCAAACCATATATTATTTTCATTGGGCTCTTTCAGCCCTGCTAGTTTGTGCTGGCAGTGGTTGATAGGACACCTAATAATTACCTGCCATCATATGACCAAAATTTTATATGTTTTGTGATGAATTTTGCCAATCATGGGAATAAACAAATGTTTACAGGCTTTAATTTGTATGAATAAAGAACGTCATGTGTATTCAGTGTTTTTCTGAAAACTAAACTTTTCTCTTGCTCTGAATGATACTTTGATTTAAAAATAAGCATTTGTTAAGGCTAAGTTATTTATATTTTAAAAACTGTCCTGAATTCATTAATCTTTTATATTTAAACAAAATTGTATTTATGTATGTAAGCAAGAGCTTTAAAATTACACACAGGTACATATTTTATTCTAGAATTATCTGTAGAAGGAAAGCTTCTGTGGCATGTAGTTTTCTTGAAACATATGCTTTCTATTAGAAATTGCAATAAAAAACTTACAATAAGGAAATTAATAGTAGTGGAGATAAGAATCCTTAACTGTAAGAATGATCTAAAGTAATGAGAATAGGTTAGCAGTGTTATGAAATTAGCATTTACAGTAATATGGGACGTTTTCATTTGTAGAAGTTGAATTAATATTTCTAATGGATTTGGAAATATATTAGTAGGTTCATATGACTTTAATAGACAGATACCTAATTACTGTGCATTTGAATATGTGAACTGACTGACTTAGGTTGTGTGGGTTGTTGTAAAGCATAATAGGTAACTTCCAGATGTGGTAAAGGTAAAGGTAAAGGTTCCCCTTGACAATTTTTGTCCAGTCGTGTCCGACTCTAGGGGGCGGCGCTCATCCCGCTCTTCAAGCCATAGAGCCAGCGTTTGTCCGAAGACAATCTTTCCGTGGTCACATGGCCAGTGTGATTTAGACACGGAACGTTGTTTACCTTCCCACCGAGGTGGTCCCTATTTATTTACTCGCATTTGCATGCTTTCGAACCGCTACGTTGGCGGGAGCTGGGACAAGCGACGGGTGCTCATTCCGTTGCGTGAATTCGATCTTACGACTGCCGGATCTTCTGACTCTGCAGCACAGGCTTCTGCGGTTTAGCCCACAGCGCCACCACGTCCCTCCAGATGTTGAGGGCCACGAATATCCATCTCTCAATCTTGGAGACCTGCTTCAGTCATTGCCCTCACCCCAATAATGTTTTGCTTTAGAAAATGGAGGCATTTTTATTAGAAAATATACCTTGTGCTCTCTAGTGACAATGCTTTTTAAAAGCTTTCTTTAAAATTGTTGGCGTTGAGGTGTCCAGTGGTGCTGGAGGGGGGGCCAAACATAGCAAATGTGCTTTCATATTGCTTACACAGGAGTACTTTTTGAGCACAACATTGGGGGACACTATGGACACATTTGGGCTGCGCAATAAACCATACTTTGTTCATTTCTGGTATGAAAGTTCACTTTCTGTTGGATTCTTCACACATCCAAGTTACTGCTTGATACTGTAGCCAGGTGTGGACCATGCATGGATGAGGTGACATCAGATAGTTAAGAGAACAAGTTAGTGGGTCATGGATTTGAGCAAAGCGTTTTGGGAATCTAGGAAAATGAGTAATTCAGATGTCTAGTTGGTTTTGTCGCTGTTACTAAATGCAAGAATGTTGTAGTGTAAGTCTTGCATGCATGGCTGTTACCAAGAAATCTGGTGGCATCTCACCATTTGGTGATAGCCACCAGCAGGCAGCTATATTTGCTGTATCTGTCTTCCAAGGTCTGTGCCAAAATCATGGATCATCAGATGGTGTATAGTTCAGACGTAGTCAATTCACGCTCTGGATGTTTTGGACTCTGTTTCTCATAATCGCATTGGATGTGCTGGCTGGGGCTCAAAGGTGCTGTAGTCCAAAACATATAGAGGGCAACAGATCACCTGCTGCTAAAATAGGTATCTGTTGATAATGTTTTTATGATAGCAGGGATTTTTAGGGTGGGAACTGTTCATGTTCATGTGAAGTGACATACAGTATTCCAAAAACACAACATCCTGAAAAACCCAGCAGTTCCAATAGTGACTGAATAATCTGCTATTTGGAAAGTAGTTTACATTTGAATGATGTGCATGTGTCTAATTCTGTAGTGGCTTCATTTGTTGAAACTACATTATATACATTATGTTGTTATAATATGATATCTGTGTGTGATGCAGGATTTGTGACCTTCCTATTGATAGCTATAGAATAGTGGTAATGGTTGTAACCAAAGGCCACTTCAAGAATTCAGTGTAGAGAATAGATTCAAGCCATGGATTTCTTGATAGATTGCTTAGCACGTTCACTGTTAATCGTTCTGCTTTTAGTCAGAAGTGCTTCTGTAGATTTTTGTCATTGTCAGTTTATTTCCATGCGCTCTTTCTTCATAAACAGTGCTGAACACTTAACAATATTATATGTGTACACAAAAATGTAAAATAACGCAAGGTGATTCACTCACAATACCCTGGCCAATCAGAGAAAACTAGACTTGAGAATCCCTTCTCGGACAAGGATAGTAAGATATCATACAAGGTAGCTGGGTTCTGTCTGGCAATTCTCAAGTTTCAGAAATTTCCCCATACTTGACTGGTATTGTTATGTAGGGTTTTGAATCACTTGTATACAGTGGTGCCTCAACATATGAAAGTCCTGACATACGACCATTTCGAGTTACGACCAGCTCCGGCCGCAAAATTTTGCTTCAACTTGTGGCCAGAGCTTTGAGTTACATCCAGAAAAAGGCAGGGAATTCAAATTGCTAACTGGTGGTGGTGAAGAAGCTGCTTCTTTGTACAGTAGCTATTTCACCCCAGCAGTTAGAATCCTTAACTGTCAGAAGGCATGAGAGTAGGTTAGCAGAGTTATGAAATTACCATTGTTTGGTGATATTTTTTTTCCTTTGGCCGGAACGGATTAATTATATTTCAGTGCATTCCTATGGGAAATGGTGCTTCGACCTACGACCATTTTGAGTTACGACCAGAGGTCCGGAACCAATTAAGTTCGTAAGTCGAGGCACCACTGTACTTGATTGTTGTATACTTGTTTTATACTTGTTTGTTTGCTTTATGTCTAAGTTTGATGTTTTACATATTCCAGAGATTGTGTGGATCTGGGTTGTCCACTTCCCTGTATGATGAGTCTGAGGACTGTAGGTAAAGAACTGTTTGATTATGAGGTAGCTGGAGATCATCACCCCACTGATCAAAGAAAAAAATAGACTTGAGTTTCTTGATACAGACTCCAAGATCACTTATCAAATAGCCAAATTTTGTATGGCGATATTTCATGCCTTGGAAATTCCATGTTAACTAGATAATAGATTTTAAATTGTATTTTAAATGCCAAATGTTTCTATAAGGTATTTGGAATTGTGGAAACTGTAAAGTCTATGTTTTTCCCCTATATGATTGGTCTAAGGACTGCAACAATAAACTGTACTGTACACACTCATAATGACAAGACAACATGATTTAATTGTGCCATTTCAAAAAATAACATTGACCTGAATCCTGTTGGCTCTCATGTAAGGTTAGCATAACTTAACTGTGTTTGACTGTATCTAATTGATGAGATTCTAGGGTGTGTCTTGATGCATGGCCAGACACTTTGTTAAAATGTTACAGCACATTACACAAACTTTAATGAGCATTAGTAAAAATCTGACCAGTATAATGAATTAATACATAATTAATGATAATAAATAGTAGAAATGCAAAACCATAATCCAAATGGCAATAAAAATAATACATTATGATTTGTAGTCCCTCAGCAATAGCCCCTAGATTTTGAAATCTCTATCTACCTTCAGCCATAGGAGTAAATTTTTCAAGAATAGTTATTCAGAATTCTAGACCTGATACTGCTGGGTTTTAATAAACAAAGATTAGCGGAAGTAGTATTTTTTGTGTGAAACATCTAAATTACAATGTAATGATTTCTGAATTAAAAGTATGTACATATAAGACAGAGCAATTTGGCAAGAATGATGAAATGAACTTTGTATATTTTTGCTAGACATGTTGTTACCCGTTCATTTCAATTGTATATGATTGTAATATTGTCTTTTATGCAGAACATTTTTCAGTATATCAAGTTTGTTTTGGGTTTATCTTCACATTGACATACATGCTCTATCTTAGCATCTCTTCCATTTTGGGGTTAAGAGCAATTTAATGTCAGGAATGTGCAAAGCACTTCACAGTATTACAGGAAGATGTAGCAAAGAGGCAAGGGGGAAAATCAACTTTGGGAGTTAAGAGTTTCAGGACATTTTAAGATGACCTGAGTAGTTTCGAAAGACTTTACTAAATGGACTGTAGGAAGTGATTACGGCTGGTTCACGTGCATGTATATGTTGGTCTTGATTATTCAACACTTGCAGACTAAAATGTATAAATGAACTCGGTTGAAGAACATAATACAGTATTGAAAGGCAGTAACTGTAATGCTTATTCACACAGGCAAGTCAGTATGCGAGTATGATTAATATAGTGCGTAAACAGAAGTTTCTTTTATAAGCCATGGTAACAAAATCTTTGTTGGAATACCCAGCTTACCGTTATCTTTATTTTCCCCTCTAAGTCCCATTTCATTTCACTACATAATTTCATCAGTGGAATTAAACAAAGGAGAATTATCTATTGAAATGATTGTAACATGTAGATCTCTTCTGGATAGGAAAAAGACAATTTAGAGCTGTGACTGTTATAGCTGTGCTAGAAATTCCAAATGTCAGATTCAAGTATGAATATCCCAGTATGAGACAGGTTGATTATCTTATGTGTTTTGGTTCATTCACACACATTTCAAAAGTTTGAAAATGAAAAAATATTCGTAGAAGTGGCACTGAGATTTTGTAGTAGCAGTTCAGAGGAAACATCATATGCCTTTTCTCCATGTTTCTGTCTCACCTGAAGGGGAGGAAGAGGCGGGCATATACTTCGCATAGAGAGAAGGGTGTTTTTCCAATGCGTTGACAGACCATATGCAATATATGTGTTCATCCCTATGTATTTTGAGTGTGGGAGGAAGTCAGATGAAGCACTCGTGCCTGACTCCCTACCTAATTGTATGGGCATCCAAACACTGAATGTCTTAATACAAATGCAGGAATAGGTGGAAATCTTTTCTTAGCAATGGGAAAGACCTGCCACAGATAATAGATAGGTATTTTTAATGAGTTTCTGCCCAACAATATACATTCCTATTAACTTATAATCAAAGTATATAAACATTTCTGTGGTAGGATATTATAAAAAAACATACCACACCTAGACTTCCTTGTATGTTTTCTAATATTATGGGATACACTTCATGATTGTTTTTCACAGTTCTACAGATGAGATAAAACTCAAGAGATTATACAGTACAAGTATGCAATTAACATTATAAGAAGTAATAATGTTTGGGTGTTGTGTCAGTCCATGGCTCTTATGCCTATTTCTAGTGTATAGATAATTATTTTACTTTTACAAGAATGAGGAAACACAAATTACTTTTCTGATGATTTGCTAATGTAGTATTCATTCAGCTTGTGCAGAAACATTTTTACATGCAATAGCTAGAGGTTTATATTCACAATACTTTCTTAACCATTTGAGAATCTGTACTTATTTCTGGCATGACTAGGGAGGAAAAGAATACAATCAATTGTTTGCATTTTATCTTGCAGATACATTTCAAGTTTCTCATCTGTGTTGGTTTATTAAACTGCCTCATGGTGTGTGGATTTGCCCAACAAGGTAAATAAAATAGTTTAAAAATAAGTTTAAAAGTACAGCTTTATAATATTTCTGTAGTGCAAAGGAAATGGTGGAAAAGAAATTGAACCAAATCTTCAGACCAGTACTCAACTTTACAAAAGCATAGGCCATTTTTAGGAATCAAAGCCACTACTTGAAATGGTGCTTGAGTTCCAGTTAGGACAGCGGTAGGCATCATATGAAGCCTTGGTGCCCTCCCCAGAATTCTACCAGCTTCTCCTACAAACATCTGTTACTGCAAAACATGTTTGTTTCAAAACCAGAGGTAGATTTTTATTTTTAAAATTGGAAGTGATATTGTGATCAGTTCTGTTGTCACATGGAGGGGCCTGCTGGCACCCCTGGAAGTTCCTGAAGCAGCAAGAATGCCTTCTGGAGCTTTCATAGAGGGCATCATCATTTGAAATTCTGAGTGTCACATTTTCAAAGAAAAAAGTGCAGTGAAAAAGACAGAGGTGTGATGCTTCATGTAACTTCTTTCTATGCAGTTTCACTCTTTTATGGTTGAAAAATCACACCTGCAGCTGTTATGCTGCATATACTCTTAAGAGAAGGTTGAAAAAAGTTTTGGGTGCATGCAGTTAAATAAATGGTAGGTGCAAGCAGTCATGCATGACTGTTATCAAGTGGACAAGCCCCAGGATCAAGTCCCACTGCACAGGATGCACAGTGAGCTGCAGCTCCACTCTTAACGTGAAACTGGAAATAGCTGGAAACCCTCAAAGCAACATATTTTGGGACAAAGGATGTTCCAAGCAAAAACCAGATATGTGGTGGATTGTCTTCCTTGGAAGAAAAATGTTTTCCAGCTTTGTCAGTTCTGCTTCCCCACCATTAAAACAAACCCCTCACTAAAACAAACTTTTAAGAAAGGAAGGAATCCTGGGCTTACAAAAGAAAAATGAGAATTATGTGTGGCTTGTGAGCCACATGTTGCCAGCTCTTGATTTACAGAAAGCTCTTACATGGAAGTACCAACCTTCTCCCACATGTGAAGCAACTTGAATTCCTAGACTAATTGTGAGGCAGAGCAGGCAAATTTCAGCATTGATGCAGGAAATCTGCACAGATGCTAGCTTACCCTGTAGGCCTTAGGCATCTGTGGGATTCATTGTTAAGCAACTCTAATAATCACATACTAATTCTTGATTCAGTGATCTAAGTTGGCTTGTAAGACATTTATTTATAACTTCAAAACAGCAAATCATTACTGCAATGTCTGAAATATTAACCTGTTCATGTTTTCTTATAGGTGGGAGCACTTGTATAACAGCTAATGCAAAATCATGTGCTGAATGTATACAAGCTGGACCAAATTGTGGATGGTGTAAAAATATAGTACGTATTCCTTGTTCGTTTATTTTTTGATGCGCCTCTATTTGTAGTTGGTCTAACATGATTGATTGCCATACAGTAGCCCAACTAACAATGGAATAGCACAGATATAGACAGTGTGTGTGTGTGTGTATGTAAATATATGCAGCATTAGAAAATTTTCTACCCCACCTCTCTGCTTCTGACTCTATCCAGTCGCCTCTTTATTGGTAACAAATTGGAAAGCAAATTTTGTGGGATCTGTGAGTGATACCTTTTAGCTCAAAAAAGCAAACAAAATCTTTATTCTACAGAACTCAATTTGAAACTAGACAAATTTCTGGAAATTCTGAACAGCTGAGATTTAGACATTTTTGTTAGATGAAAAGCTTTCTTACCATGCTACTTTTTTTGTCACCCTTTGAAAGTTCTTCCTCTCCCCAGCTCTCTCTTCTTCTTGATTCATTTGTAAGTAAGGATTCACTGACTTCCTTACACCTTAACTATTAAATAGCATGCTATATATTTTCTCCAGTTCTTTCCTCTCTCCATTTCCCTCTGCTTTTTTAACTGCAAAGCCGACAGGAATGTCCATGGCCATTGCAGATTATAACTGTACGATATTGACACTGAGATTTCACCACATGATTTTTTTACACAAAAAGAAGAGAGCACGTGTCATGCAGATGCATGTAGCTGACATATATGCATGAAATTATTGATAGTGATTGAACACCAGGTGAATAGAGGTGAATTTTATATATATACAGTTTGCCCAAGATAACAATTCTCCATAATGACAGACATGGCTCCTTTAAACACTTCCAGGCAAATTAAGGAGTAGTAGGTTGATAAGTGTGTTTGGAAAAATTAGGACTTCAGTTACTAGAATGAAAAAAAATTCCATATGTGGGATTTCTTCTGCATCATCTTTAGAAGAGGCTTCCTTCTGGGACGACAGCCCTGGAGACCAATTTGATGCAGTGTGCGGCATATGGTCTGAGCACTGACAGGCTGACCGCGCACCCCTTCAACCTCTGCAGCAATGCTGGCAGCACTCTTAAGTCCATTTCCCAAAGCCAACCTCTGGATATGGCGCTGAGCACAGGCACTCAACTTCTTTGGTCGCCCATGTCGAGTCCTGTTCTGAGTGGAACCTGTCCTGTTAAACCGTTGTGTGGTCTTGGCCACCATGCTGCAGCTCAGTTTCAGGGTTTGGGCAATCTTCTTATAGCCTAGGCCATCTTTATGTAGAGCAACAATTCGTTTTTTTCAGATCCTCAGATAGTTCATTACCATGAGGTGCCATGTGGAACTTCCAGTGACCAGTCTGAGAGAGTGAGACGATAACACCTGCTCCCCCTTCACACTTGAGACTTGTGACACTAATGGGACACTAATGTCTCATGACACCAGGGAGGGACAAGGGCTACTTGGGCCCAATATGGACATTGTCACTTAGGGGTGTACTCACTTTTGTTGCCAGCGGTTTAGACATTAATGGCTGTGTGTTGCGTTATTTTGAGGGGACAGCACATTTACACTGTTGTACAAACTGTATACTCATTGCTTTACATTGTAGCCAAGTGTCATTTCTTCAGTGTTGTCACATGAAAAGATATACTAAAATATTTATGAAATGTGAGGGGGTGTACTCATTTCTGTGATATCCTGTAGGTATAGGCATATACCTATACGTTTTCCCTTCTTCAAGTGCCAATTGTAACTGCACTTGCTACTTTCCTCTCTCCACTAAAACATTCCCTCACAGTTATTTAAAAATATTTCCACTCTGGGGTCTCCCTGTCTGCATTTAATTATATTCTCCTGGTGACATTAGAAGGACACTAATTTTAGATATTGACAATGCAGATGGGAGGGGGAAAGGGAAATGTTCTTGGTACATCTAAAATGTACATTGTGTTTTAAAATGTTTTTGTGTTTGATAGTTAACTTCTAAGCCTTGTTTCTCTTTTAAGTTTTATATGGGCTGTATTGTCTCAAACAGTTGTGTGTGTGTGTGTGTGTGTGTGTGTGTGTGAGAGAGAGAGAGAGAGAGAGAGAGAGAGGTCCATCATATACAACCCACTGTCTGTGGTCTGAAATGATATAGCTCAGTATGAAAAGAGCTGGGTACAAGACTAGATTGTGGAATTTTTTTTGTGTGTGGCCCTGCCTTTTGAGTTTCCTGCCTGTTTCCATGGTGGAAACTTAAAAGGAAAATGTATGTGAACCAAGCTGTCTAACAAATGTAATCAGCAGCAGTTTTGCCACATCATGGTCACATTGTTTCGGTCATTACAGGAAATGCTGTCAACCACATCCAAATGTGTAGAAGTGATACAATGTGAATTTTTTAGACAATAGTATCTAGTTGGCTTTGTATGCACAATGTTGTATACTGATTCTTGGAGCTGTGATCATCAACCAACAGATGGCATGACTCTTCTGGTCTAGTCTTGGTTACATGCAAAACATGGAGGGGCTTCTTGCTGCTGAGAAAAGACAAAATGTACATTAAAATGCTGGTAAAAGAGTGAGGCTTAGAAGAGAACCTGAGGTTTGGGACCTGACGAGTTCAATTTCTGAGAACTTTAATTGCAGAAGATTAGGTAGCGTGAGGTGGACAACTTCAGAGGATCATTTCTGTTGCCTTGTACCATCAAGGGCTGCACACCAGTCTTGATTCCCCCCCTCCAAGTTGGCCACTTCCATCTTCTTTTTTAATCTGGTCCCCAGAGGTTCCCAGGAGACAGTTTCCCTTGGAGGGTATAATACCTAGGAGAGCATGAGGCAGCTTGAGAGTTTGCTTTGAAGATGCTGGAGTTTATTCAGTCTATTCCTAAAGTAGCAGATGCTTGGAAATTCTTCTGTGCTTGTAACCATAGAAGGATGGACCAGCCACAGTAGCAGGTGATTGGCCAGATAGAGAATATGGCCTGATATAAGGAAGCACCCCTTCACGGATTGCTGCCTTGTCGTGGCAAAGGGGCTTAAGCAATTCAGAGAAGCTATGGGCTATGCTGTACAGGGACACCCAAAACGAACAGGTCATAGTGGAGAGTTCTGACTAAACGCGATCCACCTGGAGCAGGAACTGGAAAGCCACTCCAGTATCTTTGCCAAGAAAACTCCATGAACAGAAAAAAAAAGGCTAATAGATATGACACTGGAAGATGAGCCCCTCAGGTCGCTACTGAGGAAGAGCGGAGGACAAGTACAAGTAGCTCCAGAGCTAATGAAGTGGTTGGGCCAAAGCCGAAAGGACTCTCAGCTGCGGACGTGCCTGGAAGTGAAAGGAAAGTCCGATGCTGCAAAGAAAAATACTGCATAGGAACCTGGAATGTAAAATCTATAAACCTTGGTAAGCTGGATGTGGTCAAACAGGAAATGGCAAGAATAAACATTGACATCCTGGGCATCAGTGAACTAAAATGAATGGGAATGGGCAAATTCAATTCAGACTATTATCATATCTACTATTGTGGGCAAGAATCATGTAGAAGAAATGGAGTAGCCCTCATAGTCAACAAAAGCGTGGGAAAATCTGTACTGGGCTGCAATCTCAAAAATGGTAGGATGATTTCAATACGAATCCAAGGCAGACCTTTCAACATCACAGTAATCCAAGTTTATGCACCAACCACCAATGCTGAAGAGGCTGAAATCGACCATTTCTATGAAGACTTACAACACCTTCTAAAACTGACACCAAAGAAAGATGTTCTTCTCATTATAGGGGACTGGAATGCTAAAGTAGGGAGTCAAGAGATAAAAGGAACAACAGGTAAGTTTGGCCTTGGAGTTCAAAATGAAGCAGGGCAAAGGCTAACAGAGTTTTGTCAAGAAAACAAGCTGGTCATCACAAATACTCTTTTCCAACAACACAGGAGACGACTCTACACATGGACATCACCAGATGGGCAACACCGAAATCAGATTGATTATGTTCTCTACAGCCAAAGATGGAGAAGCTATATACAGTCACCAAAAACAAGACCTGGAACTGATTGTGGCTCTGATCATCAGCTTCTTATAGCAAAACTCAAGCTTAAACTGAAGAAAGTAGGAAAAACCACTGCGCTAGTCAGCTATAATCTAAACCAAACCCCTTATGAATACCCAGTGGAAGTGAAAAACAGATTTAAGGAACTAGATTTGGTGGACGGAGTGCCTGAATAACTATGGATGGAGGCTTTGTACAGGAGGCAGCAACAAAAACCATCCCAAAGAAAAGGAAATGCAAGAAAGCAAAATGGCTGTCTAATGAGGCCTTACAAATAGCAGAGAAGGGAAAGAAAATAAAAGGGAGATAGGGAAAGTTACAGAAAATGGAATGCAGACTTCCAAAGAATAGCAAGGAGCGACAAAAGGGCCTTTTTAAATGAACAGTGCAAAGAAATAGAGGAAAAGAATAGAAAGGGAAAAACCAGAGATCTGTTCAAGGAAATTGGAGCTATTAAAGGAACATTTTGTGCAAAGATGGACATGATAAGGGCAAAAATGGTATGGACCTTACAGAAGCAGAAGACATCAAGAAGAGGTGGCAAGAATACACAGAGGAATTATACAAGAAAGATCTGGATGTCCCGGACAACCCAGATAGAGTGGTTGCTGACCTTGAGCCAGACATCCTGGAGAGTGAAGTCAAGTGGGCCTTAGAAAGCACAGCTAACAAAGCCAGTGGAGGTGATGGCATTCCAGTTGAACTATTTAAAAT